TCAGATGAATGGTTTTGCCTTCAAGAACTTCAAAACTTAAGCTTTCAATATTGGACAATGGAAATTGAAAAAAGAATGGATCAAGTAGGAACATTTATTTTCAGGAATCCAAATGAGTGAAAGGTGGGAGATGTCTTTGACCCGAGAGAAACTCTGATGACTTCTCAAGCTATCATATTTGTTGTATTTGTTGGCTTTAACTTTTAAAATATTTTATTTGATGTTTCATCCTGCCAGTTTTATTTACTCAGTGCTTACACTTGCATGACACAGTCATACAAACAGCCTAGAAGATAGGAGGGTTTATGTGGTAGCGAATGACAACCTCGAAACCCTAAGTCGAGTTAGGGCTTGAATTGCACATGTGATTGTGCAAAAGCCTAAAAGATGAGTTAAGGATTTACACCGTATTAGACGGACTACCTTGAAACCTTATGGCTTGTTGTTTAAGTTGAGAATAGATTTGCTGATGAGATCATGTTTACTCTCTCGAAGATGTTCTTATGTATATTCTTATCATGCTACCCAGCGTTAGCTCCAAGCTCATTGTTGAAGTGACAGTCCTGAGATCTAAGGTTAAAGAACTTCTACAATGTGTGTTTCAATGACAAGTTTTGTTGTTGTTCAAGTATTATGGGGGGTTAAATTTGATAGAGCGACTTCAGTTAGGATCATAAGGTTCTCTCGTTCTGGTACCACCATTTTCTTTTGAATTTACCTAGTCTAAACGAGGTGTTAAGCTCATTTAAACTAGGGAGATCTCGTTAGCAACCGTGGGTTACCTCAACCGAGGGACTGCCGTAACTTCATGAGGATGTATTATGAAGTTTTTTTCTGTTTTTTGTTTTATTTTTAAAATAGAATTGTAATTTTCAATTTGAAGAGTTTTGCAAGCAAGATAAATAAATGCAGATAAAAAGATGATGTAAAGTAAATAAAAAAAATTGCAATGCATAAAATATAAATGCGTACATGTCATCTTCTCGCTACTCTGCTGAAATGTTAGCATCCACAATCATGTATATAGACATATGCATATATTTTGATTGTTATTTATTATTTATCTATTGTTAGTTTTGTATGTATATGTGTATGTGTATATACGTATTCATTATTAGTATTTTTATGTATGTTTATATGTTGTTATGATTATTTAAATTTTAGTTATTATTATTATTATTATTTATTGTTATTTATGTATGGTGTCATTATTACTATTGTTATTAGCGCCGTTGTTATTTTATTTATTATTTCTTATATATTATAACTATCATCGCATTTATATTATATATATTATTATCAATTTATCATTATGTATGTGTTATTATTATTATTTGTAATTATTATTCTTTTTAATTATTATTATTATTATTATTGTATGTTATTATCCTTATATAATACTATCGTTATTACTTATTTATTGTTATCATGTATATTATATTATATTGTATTATTTTTATTATTTGTTATTATTTTTCTTATTCACTATTAATATAATTATCACTTATGTTATTGTTATTAATTTGTTATTATTTATAGATTATTAACAATATTATTATTATGTATGTATATGTTATTATCATTAATAATTAATGTTATCAATGTTATTATTATTATTATTATTATTATTATTATTTTTATT